AAAAAACCCACCCTAGACCCAGACATCCTCGCCAACTACAGGCCCATCTCCAACCTCCCATTTCTAGCCAAGGTGCTGGAAAAAGTAGTTGCCGCCCAGCTTCAGGACCATCTACAACTAAACGGCCTCTTTGAAAAATTCCAGTCCGGTTTCCGTTCCGCCCACAGCACTGAAACAGCTCTGGTCAGGGTCACAAACGACCTGCTGATGGCGGCTGACACTGGATCCCCATCTCTCCTCATCCTCCTGGATCTGACTGCAGCATTCGACACTGTCGACCATAACATCCTCCTTCAGCGCCTCAAACACACCATCGGACTCTCTGACTCCGCCCTGAGCTGGTTCCAGTCCTACCTGTCTGGAAGAACAGAGTACGTCTCCTTGAGAGGTGCGAGGTCCCAGACACACCCTGTCACCTGTGGTGTCCCTCAAGGGTCGGTCCTTGGGCCCACTCTGTTCACCCTATACACTCTGCCCCTTGGTCGTGTCATCAGCAGGCATGGAATATCATTCAATTGCTATGCTGATGACACGCAGCTATATATAAAGACAGACCCTATCCCGCATGCATCGTCACTGTCACCATCATCGTCACCGTTCCCATCAACATCCCTTAACACCTGCATTGAGGAGATAAAGGCTTGGATGCGAGAAAACTTCCTGCAGCTAAATAGCTCCAAAACAGAAGCTATTTTAGTTGGCACACCAAACCAGGTCCAGTCATCCCCCATAACCCACATTACCTTTTCTGGCCAAAACATACCCCTCTCCACAGCAGTTACCAACCTGGGTGTAAGATTTGACAGACATCTGACTTTTGACACCCACATCAAACACCTGTGCAAAACCTCCTTCTACCACCTCAGGAACATTGCTAAACTCCGTCCCACACTCTCCCTGTCAGATGCAGAACAGCTGGTCCATGCCTTAGTCTCCTCAAGGCTCGATTACTGCAACGCTCTCCTCATCGGGACTCCTAGCGGGAGCCTTCAGAAACTTTCAAATAGAAAAGCATGAAGCACACGCGGATTAAAGTATGATTTTATTTTTAACATGTGTTTTTGTTCTACTTATCGTTTCATCTACCTCTCCCAAAATGCATTGCGAGCAACACATCCAATCACCGAGCTTCAACGATACCTGAGGATCATGTGTAGTGTAATGTTTTTGTTCTATCCAAAACTCAGAGGAAAGATATGTGTCTCTCGTCGAAAGGAAAAAAAAAAGGACACTGGTGTTTTTTAGTTGATGAGTACTGCAGATATCAGTGTAAAGTCAACCGACAGTGACGAGAATACTCATTTCTGGGTGTAAGTATGCAGAGCTGCGTCCCTAACCTTACATGGACACTGGCCAATCTAAAACCTCGTTAGTAACATACGTAGTATTTATACATTCCCCTGGCGAGACCTGAAAAAATCTTCGTATTCTCCACAAAAAATTGTGTTATCGCGAACCAAAAGTCGTGATAGGGGCTTGCTTGTCAACATGCGGGTATTTCTCCACTGTTGGGCCATGTTAACAATCCCTTGTAACTGTGACATTTTGAGGGGGTTAAATCGTTTCATCCTGAGGTCTCCCAGTGTGGACCAACGTGACATTTTCCCATCTTGCTGTGATAAAGAGTGCTGGAGTCGGGAGGGCTGATAATTTATTCAGGCTTATTACTCAGACCTACTAATTGACCTAACAGAAGTTATTGAGTCTATGTAAGTTTACTGCTCGGCTCAACGTCAGCAAGATCTCACCTCTATTAACTCCTTAAGAACCAGGTTCAATGAACTGCCGTTTCAATTCAGACGACCCTCTAAATCTGTTTAAGCGATCCTGAAGGATTTTGATATCAGTAAATGAGGTGTGGCCCTACCTAAGTGTGAGTGTGGCAGTGTGCAATCTTACCTTTGAAGCAGGAGAGGAGAGCGCAGATGTCTTTTAAGTTGTCCCAATCCAAAAGGTGGGATCAGTTTATTTGAAGAAAAATTGGTCCACACTTATAGAGGGTTTTTACCTTCTCTCGTTACAACATGACAATTCTACAAAACCTAATCATGCTGTGGTCATGTTCTAATATGCAACCCTAATTCACAGTTTTACATTTATTACACTAAATTGTAACTTCAACTGCCTAATTCAGTTGTGATATTTAAAACTCCCAATATAATTTAGAGGCATCTCCTCATAAACGACCGGTGATAATAAAAAGCACATTCAAACTTTCATTCACCAAATCAATTCACATCAATTCCACACCTATTTCCGCATGAATTAGGAGGAATTTCCTCAATTGTACAAGAGGGACTCTTATTGAGCTCAATTTGAAGAAAAAAAACACACCTGATTTTAACACCATACCAACAAGAATTCATGTAATTATGTGTAGAAAACGCCAATGAAAGTTGTACACGTGTTGCACTAGGCTGCAGGTCAGGCCATTTCTTGTAAATCAGCCTGGTTCTCCTCAGTGCCGCCTCCTGCTAATGAATAATGATCTTGGGGCGTTTCTCTCTCAGAGACAATAAAACATGCGAAACTACAGCACTGCCTCAGAGGATCACACACATCTCTATGGTAAGTACACCTAATGTTCTTTCTGTTGCATACAGTTTTGCTGTGTATCTTAACTGTGTAATCAGGAGTCCTGCAGCTGCTGGTAGTTTAACCAACAACTGTAGATGTGGTTTAAATTACAACCATGCTTTTGATTATTATTTTTAAAGTATTTCAATGTAATGACAGAAACGTGCAAGGTTGCATGTTTTAGCACTTTGCTACAAACTGAAAAAATATTACACAATAATATATAATAACAAATACTGCATTATTGTAGAATCAGACCCTCTTGTTTAAAGAAAAGGGTAGCACCACAAATGCACACATTTAAATATGTGTTGTATTGTACATTGTTTTTAGTCTGTATTATATAATATGAATTAGATTGTAGTTTTACACAAACAAGGGATTACTTCGGTGTATAATAGCGCATACAAAAACACAGTAAGAGTAGCTCAGATATACATTTGGTAATTAGCTTGCATGTATAAATTGTTCTGTTGCAGCACTAAAGCAAATAATAGCAATGAACAGGACTGTTAATTTCATCAACGAAAACTATGACAAAAAATGTTCGTCAACGACCTTTTTTACATGACTAAGACGAGACGATGACGAGCTAAAAATAGATTCTTGATAATAAAAACTATGACGAAATGTATATTTTGTTTTCGTTGACGAGACGAGACGGGACTAAGCTGTTAATGGTGGATCGGACATTAAAAATGCAGCATATTTTCCCCCAATTGTCCTTCTTGTCCGTCAAAATGCATCTTACGTTTCTGACTTGCAATATCATTATTTCCGCTCTCTTCACTCCAGAAGAGCGATCTCCCTGTGTCTCTCTGTGTGCGGGGGGCGGGGCCTAACAGACACGCTGCAGCGGCACACAGAGATCTGCCGGGGACAGAGCGTTCAGAGAGTAGAGAGACACTCTACAAGGCTCGATGTGGAAAAAGCTAATTTGCCATTAGTGTTTTCGCGTTAGCGCGTTGACACGAGTAGAGTAGTCTTTCCAAATAGCCGGCCAAAAGGCGTCATATTCAGTCAGAGAAATGCACAATTTTCTACTTCCTTAACTCGTAGCTCTGTTGCCCCAATTACGAGTAACTTTATCACATCAGGTGTGCAGAGGTAGGAGAAGTACCTGAGTGTAGGAATACTCTGTTAAAAGTCCTGCATTCAAAATGTTACTCAAGTAAAAGTAGACAGGTATTAGCATCAAAATATAGGTAAGGTACCAAAAGTAGTGATTGTGCAGATTGGTCCATTTCAGAATAATATATCTGATATGTTTTATAATGATTGATCATGAAAGTGTTCTCAAAGCTGGTAAAGGTGCAGCTAGTTTGAATGACTTTGTATACTGCAGGGTAGCTTGTGGATTTACTCCAGGTGGAACTAAAGTCTGATTTAACACTTGGTTATATTTCACATCATTCATCCACATCTGTGAAGTAACTAAAGGGATTCAATACATGTAGTGGAGGAAAAGTACACCATGTACCTCTGAACTGTAGTGGAGTAGAAGTACTAAGTAGCAACACATTTAAATACTCCAGTAAAGTACAAGTACCTCAACATTTTACTCAAGTACAGTACAATATAATAACATAATTATATATTTGATTTATTTCACATTTAAATAAAGTAATGTTAATCCGGTTAACAATTTGTTTAGTTTTTCACTTTAAAACATAACAAAAAGTACATATAAGAATACCATTAAAGTACTGTATCGATAAGAGTAGTAGTAGGCCCTTTTTGTTTTTTGTTTTATGTATATATGTCACACTGTAGGACTGCGGGAAACGATATTTCGATATTTCTGCATGTATAACACATGTAGAATTATTGACAATAAAGCTGACTTTGACTTTGACTTTGACTTTTGTGTTAAAAACCTTAACGATACTCATCCCTAGATATTACACAAGTAAAGTGTTAAGAGAGTGAAATGTTGCTTTACGAATTTCAACACTTGATGCTGTCACCTTGATTCCACTTTCAGATACCTGTATTTGAATTAGTTTAAAGAGAGAAAACATTTTGACGAAAAGTTGACTAAAATGTAATGATTTTTCATCGACTAAAACTGGACTAAAACGTTTTGAGTTGTCGTCGACTAAAACTAGACTAAAACTATGAAGGATAGAAATGACTGAAATGTGACTAAAACTAATAACCATTTTCGTCTAAATACTAAATCAAAAATAGCTGCCAAAATTAACACTGGAACAGGAGAGGAAGACAAGGTCATTACAAGTCACTTTGCATAAAAGGTGATTAGGACACTTTTTTGGTTTGGTTTGACATTGGATTATCAGATGTTTATTAGACCCCCTTACATTGGTACATTTACCCAAAAAGGGAATATTCTGTTATACTTTTACCGTCAGAAGAGCTTGTCTTTCGTGCAAACTATACAAGAACACAAATGCCTCACAGTTTAAATATACATACATTCTGTTTTCTATTCAAGAATAAGAGATGGACCCTCAAGCAAGCAGAACAATAGAAGTGGCGTCACTCGGCCGGCCATTCAGCCTCGGGATGCTGTACGACTGCCGGCAGGATTCACTCGTCCCTGGTAAGGATCCACATGTAAAGTTACTGAACAGCTAAAACTGCATAAAACTTAATCCAAATATTCAGGTATGGGAACCTACTTGTAAAAAATGCTAATTGTTTCTGAACTTGCTGAAGCTCCATTCTAGAAAAAACAAAACTGCAAATCATCCCATGATCATTACATGACTTTTGAGCGAGCTGAAGGATTTGGAATTCTATTCTGTGTTGTACAGGGAGCCAGTGTAGAGAATATTGAGGAAATATGATCTGTTTTCCCAGATTTTGCATTCTGGTTCAACTGTCGAGTTTTAAGAGAACTAATGGGATGGCCTGATAATAAATAATTACATGAATCCAGGCCAGCATGTACAAATGCATGGTAATTTTGAATGTATCTTTTTGAGACCGGATGTCTGACTGCAAAGTTAATGTGATAGTTAAAGTGCATATTCTTAACAAAACTCCCTGACTCTGGACCATGGTGTTGGAGACCAAGGCATAGAGTAACTATATCTTTAGAAAAGGCTTGAAGTTTAGTTAACTCTATACAAATAATAAAGTATCATCTGCATAACTGAAAATGAATTGTTTTTTATAGAAATTGCTTAAAGGTAGCATATAAGTTAATCATAATAACAGAATTGAGGTTGCTCAGATAAAAAACACAGATTTTTGTTGTTCCTTTAATAGCAATGAAATGTTCAATTCTCAGTTATCGGACGTGATGGTCAATGATGTTGAATGCAGGACTAAGATCTAACAAGAAAGTACAGAAACGCATTTACTGATGATTAAATAAAGTATTTAAAAAAGAGATTTAATTACAGTTACTTTATAAGACTGTGCTACATAAAAGACATATTGATCATATTTAGTAAAGGGCTAATTAAGGATATAACTGCCCTGGTTGGGTTGGGTTAGAGACAATGTGATGGTTTAGGAATAAGAAATCCTTACATTTTCCTTGGGGAAGTCATATGGGGGAAAAAAGCAGTCTAAATATATATCTGATGTGATTGCAGATGGTTGAGGGAAGCAGCTGAATTTTGAGAAATAAGAATTGTATTGATTGTATTGATCATAAATTGGTTGCTATTTAAGGATAGCTATATATAGAGCTGTTACTTTATGGAGCTAAATAGGGGCCAAAAGTGTTGATCATTCGAAATATAATGTATTTGAAAGTTCAGATCCTGAACTATGAAAAGTATTTGAAAAGTCCTTTTCAGGTTGAATATAATTGTAATTCAGTCGAGCATTTTTCTTTTACAAAGTATTGTTTTCATATATCATTTTCATTTTGATATTTGAGTCATTCTTTTTTTCAGATTCAGCAGTCATGTTGCCTTCAGGAATTGTATATACTGGTAGAAATATTACTCAACACTTTCTATACACAATACTCCTGTTGTAATGGCAACTTTGTTGTTCCAATGGCCTATTATGCGGCTTTCACACCAGCGCTTTTCCCTTTCTAGCTCCGAGCTAGAGCTTTTCTGGTTCAGCTCCGGTTTCCCTTTTCAGCTCCCGCTCTGTTCACACCGCCCAGAGCTGCCGCTGCTGCGTCATGACGTCACCGTTTACATCGCTGATTTGCTCCCCAACGGAGCTCACAACAACAACAACAACGGGGGACTGCGTTGGGTCGATGATCGTGTTGCTTTTAATCATACGAAGCCAGATTAAATTAAATAACGACTTCTCCAACCTTATACTTTTCTCCAGAGTGCCGTGGTTCATTGTTTATTAATGTGTTTCATTTAGCGACCGCTGCAGTGCTGGCTGCTCTTCCACGGGAGTGTATTCTCCCGTTAGCTCCGGGTTAGCTCACACGGCTCTAAAGTATTCACTGTCTGACTGTCACACAAGCAGCTGATACATATCCCCAGTTCCCCTTCAGTGAATGTGTGTCAGTCTGAATTGACGCTGTTTGGCATCACAACGCTGTTATGAAAGTTTCTCTGGTATAACATGGGTGATGTTAGCATAGCAACCGAAGCTAAACTGACTACTTGCTAAGCCGTTTTCTACAGGCACATTTTACCGGCGTATTTTTCACTATGATTCTACTTGTGATAGTCGGACATGACAACCTGTGCAGCCCATGTATTGATTCCATCCGATAGCTGCTATAATAACAAACAAAACGTCTGCCTGCTCTCCACAATGATCAATAACAGCGAACGGATGGTCAAAGTAAGGTACAAATAAACAGAATCACACGAAGCCTGGTTAGTGTTGCCTGACTTTATAAAGTGTGTTTTTTTTTATAAGTGTGTGGTTGCCTTCTAGTCACTTTGCTCAGCGCTACTGCTTGTAGGCAGGCATGACGAGACTCTTCAGTCGACCCATGTTCAGGGGAGGTGGGTTTAGTTTCCTGCACGCCTCGACGTAAGAGATACGTAAGCGACGCCGCGTCATAGCTCCGAAGCTCCTGCTTCTAGACCGACAATTTTTTGGAGCTGGAAGTGAACCGCATTCCGGAGCTATAGAGTGGCGAAGTCCCTCCCCTTCCGGTGGACCTCCATGGGACCTTATTTCGGAAAAATGATGTATTGAAGTCAATGGAGAGAGAAAGATTATCTTTCGATCCCGTTTGAATTGTGCCACGAATTACACATATGATGTTTGTCAATTTAAAAGATAATTTTGCAAGTCAAAAAAAAAAAAATGTGTCGTAAAACTGTGAAGTAACACATTTGTTTGTGTGAAACGCTCAATGAACTACATCTCTGGTCAACAACACACGTCACCAAGATGGCCGTCACTACTGTCTTGTCAACAAAACGATTGACTTCCCTCACTATTACCACAATGAAACACGTCCTGAAGAATGTCATGCAAAGCTGCCTGCCTGCCTTCCTTTGATTCTCTCTGAACTGCCTGGTCGTTTTAATGTTTAATGTCAACCATTTGTGCAGATAGCATGAAGTAGAGAAGATCGCTAGCGTTAGCGTTAGCATTTCTCCCCCGGGCTTAAATTGTGTATTATAGAATGATCACACCGGTGACAGTACTCTTCAAAGGGTTCACGAAATATGACTACTACTCTTACTGTTTAACATTTGGGTTACTTAATGTTACTTCATGTTAAGGCTAATAAAAATGACAAGGCTGTAATGCTAACTAACGTGCTAGCTACTAGCTAGCATGATCCAGAGTACTCCTGGTCCTTTCATCAGACGGGAACATAGACTGTATATATAAAGTCGGGAAGACGGTAGGCGAAAGAACGAGCAAGACCCATTGCTGGTATAATAACAACCTGGTACTAAGCACACAGGCATCTTGTTAAAGTTATCTTATCTTAGCCAGCGCGATCTTAGTGGAGGAAAACAATTGTGACATCACTTACGCGACTCTGGGATTTGTAGTCTTTCTAGTTACGTATTTTTCATAGTCTTATATTTCAACAGTTTTACGAACTGTGACTTTTTTGACATGGAAATGATTTTTTAAGATTGACAAACATCATATGTGTAATTCATGGCACAATTCAAACGGGATCGAAAGATAAGTTTTCTCTCCCCATTGACTTCAATGCATAATTTTTCCGAAATAAGGTCCCATTACCCGGAAGTAAGTGGGCGTGACTTCGCCACTCTATGACGCGGCGCCGCTACGGTGTGAACAGGAAAAAACGGTACTTTTCAGGCTCTAGCTCCGAGCCGGCGCTGAAAACGCGTTGGTGTGAAAGGGGCATTATTTGTTTTGCCATTACTTCACAGAAGAATGAGTGATCCAGACGCAGACACATAACAGATGCATTCCGGAGTGAAGTTTATATAGAGTTTACATTACCAAGGTTTAATTACTGACTGGATGGTTGTTGTATCTTGAGCATCTGCTGGGCAGTTCATGGGCTGGTTAGATCGGTATGCTCTTCCTCCTGTGTCCTCGCTCTTCCAGTCACCTGTGACCCCCTTTATACACCCGGTGCAGCTAAACCCCGCCACCAAGTGTTAAAAAATAATATTGCACTATAAATATAAATAAGGTAAACTGACATACCAACAACACCCATAAAATGGCTCCTCCTACACCCGTGATTGGCAGTCAAAAAACTGATGCCAGTGCAGGGCTCAACGCTAACTTTTAAAAGTGGTTGCCAGGCTGGCAAACAGGCATCAGCTTTTGGTTGCCAAAACTGAAAATACGGCTGCCATTTTTAGTCACCTTATATTTTAAATAATTAAGATACTATACAGTTATACATCAACTTAATAATGAACATGTGACACAAAAGAATGTTCAAAAGCTGTATTACAATAAGTAATTAACACAATTATTTGAAACTAAAGTGGTAGTAAACTTGTCCACCCTCAATTGCTAGTATACAAAATACCAGTAGTGCAGCTGTTGTCATGTTCTTCACAGATCCACAAATGAATTGAGCAAGTCACTAGTTTCTTGGTCATCCGTTGTCTCCCTTTAAAATGTTCTGATCCCCACCATAGATCCATTGGCCCTTCAGCATTGAAGTCATTGGCCAGACTAATACATTTCTAATGTTAAATAAATTAAAACCATTCACAGTTAAGAATGAGATATTAATTATTAATGCTGTAAATTACCTTTTATATGTCTAACTATATTTCAAATGTGTTACCTTTTTATAGAAGTGATTATATTTTTATGCCAATATTTTCCTATGGTAAAGTTTTCGTTTTGCACTTTTATTTTGGTAGTAATAAGATCGGGACTCTTATTTTGAAGGAACTTTTACCGGAAGTGAATGGACAACGGAACAGAATGTACTCAACCAACTAAAAGTATTTCTTCTTAGAATAAGTGAGACATTGATTTAACTTCTGTGTGACAGCTATCATACTGGAGAAATAAGAAACTGTAATTGTATGCAATCATTTGTGGCATTAATAATTAATATCTAATTCTTAACTGTGAATGGTTTTCATTTATTTAACATTCAAAATGTATTAGTCTGGCCAAACTAGTTGGCAACCTAAAATCCCTCTCTTTCCGTACCTCAGATAGAAGATATTATTGGAGACGAAACAGCCAATCAGAATTGACCTTCTCGAGTTCTCCGATTTGGTTGGTTTTGTGGCACATTTGTAACGCTTTGCCAACTTGAGCGAGCCCGAAGGCAAACTTGAGCGCGCACCCACAGGGTGGAGGGGTTGAGCGAGGGAGAGAGTGTGCAGGAGTTTGTGACAGGGCTTGAGAGTCAATTTCTCTTCAAAATATAATTGATGTGCTTGCAAAATACATTTTTCTGTGGTCAAAATGTTTCATTGCGTGCTCAGGATAGAGGCACAAAAATAACGCCTTATATTTTGCCTCCCAAGACTTTACAAATGTCCTCTTTGCTTTTCGTTCGGGTTCACCTTGCGCTTTATCAGTTGAATCATTTTCAACATTCGTTTGAGATGTTGACGAGTTGGCCAAACTGTTTACCCCTCAGTCAAACAACTTAATTTGCTTCGCCATTTTTTGTAAAACAAACACACGGCACACCGCGCACGCAAGTAAACTTGCATCGCTTTCTGGCTCCGTAATCACACCAATGCACATGCAACTTAAGTATCAGGTTCCGACTGGTCACAACAATAATTAAATATCACTCTTAATACAACAAATAATTAACATTTATCTATTTTGGGGTCCACATTTTGCTGTTTGCTGTGCTTATTTATTTATGTTAAAACTGGTTGCCAACCAAAGGCCAAGAAATGGTTGAAATTGTTTCTGAATGGTTGCCAATGGCAACCTGGCAACCGTTACTGTCGAGCCCTGCATTGACATGGTTCTATTTAGCGAGTGGGAGCTATGTAATATAGCTAACATTTCTTCTCTGTGCGCTAGTGCCAGCCATGGTGCCGGCAGGTTGTCCTGGTGGAGTGCATGCTATTGCAAGCTCACAATAGGGCTGCTATATGGAAGTGGGGGTAATCCATGCTTAAAGTGCTTTCACGAACTTCACAATCTAGCACAGTTCATTGCTCTTATACCACGATTGTTGCCAAGTGCGATCAAAAACAGCTCGCTAAATAGAACCTTGTCACTGGCATCAGTTTTGTTTTACTGCCAATCACGGGAGTATTGTGTATAAAAAGTGTTGAGTTAAAAAAACTGAAAAAATTACTCAAATAACATAATATAACTAAAAGTGAATCAAAATAACCTGAAACCAAAATTCAACCTGAAAAAAATGTAAATGCTTATTCTTTGTTTGAATAAATCATTGCATTATTAACTGTTTGGGATCAAAACTTGAACTTTACATTTCTTTTCTTTTTTTCTTTGATGATCATAACTTCTGGCCCAGATTTAGGTTCATATTACTCTCTGTTAGCCTTGCTACTGTGCAATAAGGAAACCTGTGATTGTGATATTTCTGATTTAAGTTATAGGCTACATTCTAGTTTTGCCAATATTCAGATTTTAGGATTATTTTTTTGAGTAGTAATAGGAGCAGTCAGGCTGACATCTTGTAGTTGCTGGTATGCAAAACATAGACACCGCCAAAAGTTTATAAAAATGGCTGGTTAAAAGGAAAAACAAGATTACCCTAACCATGGTGGAATCTTTTGTGCTTGTAGGGTAGAGAAGTAGCAGTATATGGTTAACAGATTTCCTCATAAAACACTATAACTGTTTGTTACAAGCAGATTAACTAAGCAGCTCGAATGTCCTGTTGTTATTTTAGACATTTTAACTAACCAATTGGTGAACTATTGGAATGGATATTTAGTCTTAATTGTTGGCGTATAATTTCAGGGAAAACAGTGTGTTTATGAGTGTTCTTTAGGCCAGTTGGTCGCAGATCCTACAGCCAGCTAACATTGCCAGAAAGTTCCAGATTCATTTATGTAATGGTTCACTTTAATCACATTCAACATTAGTCACATCAATAGACTAAAATCTTCATTTGAGTGTGGGTAAACACAGTACCGAGGCTATCATTATCTTTTTCCTCATTGATACTAATTTCACCTTCAGTTATTACTTTATCATTTTTAAGAACTAAGCTTGTGAGAAATTAATATGTTGTCTTGGTGTTTCTCTAATTGTGTGTCAAACAGCTTAGCCTTACTATCATGCAATCAAAGGCAGATTAATATCTTCATTTTTTTTTTGGACAGGCCTGACACTGTGGAACTGTGATGACCTGGAAAAAGATACAAGAGAAAGACCAAAACCTAGCAGTGACTTTGAGATGGTGGCATCTGAATCAATTGAGGATAAATCTTCAGCACTTGAGGTTGAAGCCTCTCTGAAAGCAAGTTTCTTGGGTGGACTGGTAGAGGTTGAAGGATCAGCCAAATATCTCAACGATAGCAAGACTTCCAAAAATCAGGCCAGAGTAACACTAAAGTACAAAACTACCACAAAGTTCCATGAACTGTCCATGAAACATCTTGGAAGAGGCAATGTTAAGTATCCATATGTCTTTGATGAAGGAATAGCAACACATGTAGTCACAGGTATCCTTTATGGGGCACAAGCCTTCTTTGTCTTTGACCGTGAGGTGTCTGTCAGCGAGAACCATCAAGACATTCAGGGAAACTTGAAGGTGATGATCAAGAAAATCCCCTGCCTTTCAATAGAGGGCGAAGGCTCGCTGAAAATGGAAGACAAGGACAAAGCAAATGTAGAAACATTCTCCTGCAAATTCCATGGAGACTTTTCACTTGAAAAAAATCCTGTGTCCTTTCAGGATGCAGTAGAGGTGTACCAAAGTCTGCCAAAGCTGCTGGGAGCCAACGGGGAAAACGCAGTACCAGTGAAGGTCTGGCTGTTGCCTCTGACATGTTTAGATTCTTCTGCTGCTAAACTTGTCCGTCAGATAAGTATAAGATTAGTTCAAGAATCTCAGAGTGTCCTGGAGGACTTCAGTGACCTGGAAATGAGGTGCAATGATGCACTGAGAACCCAAACTGCACAGCAGTTCCCACAGATTGGAAAAAAAACTGAAAACCTTTAAACAGATGTGCTCTGAGTTCAAACTGAAATTCCAACAAACCCTGTCAAAGAAACTTCCATCAATCCGAGGAGGAGGAGAAGAAGAAGCTGTGCTTGCAGAGGAACTGAGGAAGACATGTTCTTCTCCTTTCAACAGCAAGGACCTGAACGAGTGGATGGACTGTAAGGAGAGAGAAATATCCATTTTGAAGTCGTACACCAACATGATGAAAAACACCCAGATCGTTCCACGTGAAAATGATCTTCATGAAGAAATTCTCAATGCAGAGCATGCTGTGTGTTTTGTCTTCACCTCGCTGGGAAGTGAGGAACCGTACCTCTCAACTTTATCAAACCACCTTAAACAAACACCCAAACCAGACGACGCTCAAGATCCACACACTCCAGCTTTAGAAAAGGAACAATGGTACCTCACAAACGAAGTAGCAGAAACATTGAGAAACAAAGCAAAGCTCTTCAATGATTTTGCAGAGGCCAACAAGGAGAACAAGAACATCACATTCCTGACGGTGGGTTTAACAAACGAGACACACAAAGGTGCCAGCATCTACCTTTATACAGACGGCCTTTCTGTCAATGAGAACTTTGAGCCGCCTTCAAAGCCTGCAACAGTAACAGGAAGTGATATAAACCACAACAGTGTGACACTGAGGATTTCTCCACCCAGATTTGGAGCAGAGGACATCACCTCCTACTCTGTTGAGTACCGTGCCAGTGGAGAGGACGACTGGAAACAAAAGACAGCATCCAAAGCTGAAGAAGTCACAGTGAGCGGCCTGAGTCCTAACACAGAGTACATGTTCAGATGCAGGGCAGAGACACCAGTAGGTGCCGGGCCAGCCAATGAACTCAGTGGATCCATTAAAACCTTACCCTGCAGCCCTCCTGGAAAACCCAACGTTGAATCTAACTCAAGTGAGATATCAGTCAGCTGGGAGAAACCTGCTGAGCTCGGACAAGATGTCCACGTTTTGAGCTACATCGTGGAGTACGCCAAACCAGACCAACAGGTGAAAGAGGAAGATCTCCACTGGGAGCAAATTATGGTGAGAGCTGAGAAGGCGATCATTTCAGGACTTCAGCCAGAGACAGAATACGCTGTCAGGGTCAGGTGTGATTGTGGTGCAGCTGGAAGAAGCAAAGAAAGCATTGCTGTTAATGTCCGCACAACTAAACGTGAATTTGCACGTCTTGCCGAATTCCTCAAAAGTAAAAGCAAAAGGATCAACTCTGAATCTCCCTCAGTTTACAAACTGCCTCTGACAGAAGAAGATATGGATGTTGATGGATGCCGAGGGTACACCTTTGGCAAAGAAAGCATGAGGCAAAATCGCACAATAATGATTCTCGGAGCAACCGGGGCTGGTAAATCCACTCTGATCAATGGACTCATCAACTACGTAGTTGGTGTAGAGTGGAAGGACAATTTCAGATTCAAGTTAATTGATGAGGGTCAGTCGAGATCTCAAGCTGAGAGCCAGACCTCTGAAGTCACTGTGTACAACATCAACCACCAAGAGGGCTTTAAAATCCCTTTCTCTCTGACCATTGTTGATACTCCAGGTTTTGGAGATACAAGAGGAATAGGAAGAGACAAAGAGATCACAGAGCAAATCAGGAGGCTTTTCACTTCTGTGAATGGAGTCAGTGAGATTGATGCTGTGTGTTTTGTCACCCAGGCCTCTCTTGCCCGACTAACAGCCACACAACGATATGTGTTTGACTCTGTGCTCTCCATCTTTGGCAAAGACGTGGCAGAGAATATTCAGATGCTGGTCACCTTTGCAGATGGCAAGCAGCCAACTGTTCTTGAGGCAATAAACAACTCTAGGGTTCCATGTCCAAAAAATGACCTAGGGCTTCCAGTTCACTTCAAATTCAACAACTCAGCGTTGTTTGCAGATAACAGAAGCAGCAGTGATCGGACCTCTGATGAGAATTCTGAAGAGGATGATGAGGATGATGATGACTTTGACGAAATGTTTTGGAAGATGGGCATCAAAAGTATGGAGAAGTTCTTCACTGCTTTGACTAAACTGACAACCAAAAGCTTGCTCATGACCCAAGAGGTTCTAAAAGAACGGAGGCATCTTGAAGCGGCCGTTGAAGGTTTGCAACCGCAAGTTAAAGCTGGATTAGCAAAACTCGAACAAATCAAGACAACCAAAGAAAAGATTAAAGAGCATGAAACAGCCATGACTTCAAATGAAAACTTTGTGATTGAGGTGGATGTTATTAAGCCAGTCAAAAAACTGCTCACAAAGAAAGGAGAGTACATTACCAACTGCCAGAACTGTTCCATTACCTGCCACTACCCGTGTATGATACCGGACGATAGTCAAAAACGTGGCTGTGCGTCGATGGATAGTTCTGGGAGGTGCACTGTCTGCCCTGGAAAATGCATTTGGAGTGTGCATTTCAACCAGACATACAGCTGGGACTATGTACAAGTCAAAGAGAGCCAGACACTGGAAGAGCTTAAAGTCAAGTACAATAAAGCTGCGAAAGAAAAGATGACTGTTCAGGAGTTGATTGAGAGTCAAGAGGAGGAGATCGATCAACTCCAAGGGATGATAGTGTCCCTCATGGATCAGTCATCTCACTCTTTAACTCGTCTGCAAGAGATCGCCCTGAGGCCTAACCCTCTGACCACTCCAGATTACATTGACATGCTGATTGAAGGAGAAAAGGCTGAGGCCAAAGTGGGTTACCAGGCACGTGTTCGGTCTTTGGAGGAGATGAGGGAAAAAGCAACAATCATCTCCAGAGTGGCCAAACGGCAAAAACTCACAAAAACGGAAGAGGAATTATCTCGAGAGAAACAGGAGACGCAAAAAAAGAAAGGTTTCTTAAAGAGTGTTGCAAATTTCTTTGGATATTAGGGGGGGAAATGACATGAAGGCTCTTTAAAAAAAAATTGTTGTTGTAGACCTGAGCCATGTTATGACCATTACTACAATATAATACATTAATTACAATTATAATGCTGACATGCTAAAGTTAGCATGACGCATTAGCACTCACTTTTTGTCATTATCAAGCTTTGTTAGATTTTAGAGATGTTGTCCAGCAGGTTAAGACCCCCACCGACCTGCATTATGGAAAACTGCTTCTTAACTGACACACAGTCATTGGTTGACCTCTGTCCGCTGGAGTATTGGTGCCTATAACGGTTACCACTCACTTTTGTTCTCTTATTTTTATTAATCAATTATTAAGATATTTCAATGTATAATACATTTTCATTATATGCCAAACATTTAAGTTTCAAGACAAGGTTTTGGACTTCCACAGTTATGTAACTTGTCTTGAAGATGTTTGCGGTAACACAAATGCTGTCTTGATTCACATGATTAAATTGAAGGTTTTATTTGTCTTCAGTAGGTTAAAGCTTGTTCCTGTGATGCTCATCCTGATCAAAGGACAGCACAGACGTTGCAGCTTCATGTTTGCAGTTTGTGGATATTAAACTTGTTGATCTTAATGTGATGCATTTACTGTATTTGTCTTCTTTTTTTGCTTACTGTTGAACATATAATACAAAAAGCCAGTAAATAATTGAATAGAAATTTGACCAAAAGTCTAACAACAGTCAACAGTGCTTGATTATTAAATGTAATGTGATTGATGTGTGATAATAAAAGATATTGTTCAATATGTCTTGTTCTCTTTCAGTTTCATCAGCTATATTTTTTATTATTTAGCTCCTCACAACCCTAAGCGGTTCCCAACTGGGGGTACAGGGACCCCAAGTGGTACTTAAGGGGATTGCAAGGGTTGCGTAGAATGATTGCAATTTATTTCCACACAAAAAAACATTCTTAAATCAATGTTCATAATCCTGGTGTCCCGCCCCCAGAACTATCAAAGCTTATGAAAGACAAGTAAGCTCAAGTGTCAAATAAAAGATGTTGAAACTGCTAGAAGTGAGTCTTAATATCATTATTTTCACTCACAATAAGTGCAAATGTCAAGTTAAAATTCTGTATTGCATTTGTATTAAAGGTCCCCTATTATACTGTTTTTCATCAATATATTTTAGTTCTCAGATATATACAGAGCCTGTCTCTGATTGGCTGAAACACCAAACAGATCATTGCAGCATCCCATAATCCCCTCTGTTTCAGCCCTGTTTCCAAAGTGCTGATTCTCTGTCTGTTACTTTAGATGAAAATAAGGAGCCCCTCCCCACGCCCCTCTGAGAGACATTTGGTTACAAAGAACTCAATGGTGCTCTAGGAGGAGATTCAGGTGATAAGGTGGGGGGGGGGGGTTACATTGGTTGGTGATTGGCTAATGGTTACACAAGACAAAACATCGTGATGACATCACAAAGTGTCCAAAATCTGATCAGCTCATTTTCAGACAGGTTTTTATAGAAATGGATCAAAAAGAGAGAGAATCTTTGTTCCTGAAACTTTCAGAGTCTCTTTACACAGAGGAGAAGAGACATGAAGAAGAGGGGACACATGTTGATGTAGAAGAGACATGAAGAAGAGGGGACACATGTTGATGTAGAAAAGACATGAACAGGTGGATTTTGCAGTTTAATAGGTGACCTTTAAAGGGGAGTTATACAAGTGATTTTCAACTAAGGAGCAGTTGGGTTGAATACAATTACAAAGGGTTTAACACAAGAGAAAACGTAGGTGAATCATCACAGATGAGTGGGGGGGGGGTTCTTATAGAACCGGCTAAAAGTGTACAGGACAAAAAAGGTTGGGAACCACTGATATCACCCATCTTTGTATTGGAAGTAATGTTAATATTTTCTCTTCATTGAAACCATTTTAATAAAACAATATTAATACAATTATTATTTAAAATGTCACTTAACGCTTACGCTCTAGCTCAAAGCCAAATGGGAACAGGTCATGTTGCATATTAAAAACCCTGAAACTAAAAGTCGTGAAAACAGGAGGGGTTGTTCAGATGGTCTTTTGGTGGACGACCTCACTGTAAGGCTTAAATACAAATAGTGAACATAAAAGAAAATAGGAAAACTACAGTTGTGTGAAGTAACTAAGTAGATATACTCAAGTACTTGATTTGTTATGTAAATCAGAGGTGGGAGAAGTACTCAGATCTTGTACTTGAGTTAAAGGAGAAGTACTCAGATCTTGTACTTGAGTAAAAGTAGAAGTACTCAGATCTTGTACTTGAGTAAAAGTAGAAGTACTCAGATCTTGTACTTGAGTTAAAGGAGAAGTACTCAGATCTTGTACTTGAGTAAAAGTAGAAGTACTCAGATCTTGTACTTGAGTAAAAGTAGAAGTACTCAGATCTTGTACTTGAGTAAAAGTAGAAGTACTCAGATCTTGTACTTGAGTAAAAGTAGAAGTACTCAGATCTTGTACTTGAGTAAAAGTAGAAGTACTCAGATCTTGTACTTGAGTAAAAATAGAAGTACTCAGATCTTGTACTTGAGTAAAAGTAGAAGTACTCAGATCTTGTACTTGAGTAAAAGTAGAAGTACTCAGATCTTGTACTTGAGTAAAAGTAGAAGTACTCAGATCTTGTACTTGAGTAAAAGTAGAAGTACTCAGATCTTGTACTTGAGTAAAAGTAGAAGTACTCAGATCTTGTACTTGAGTAAAAATAGAAGTACTCAGATCTTGTACTTGAGTAAAAGTAGAAGTACTCAGATCTTGTACTTGAGTAAAAGTAGAAGTACTCAGATCTTGTACTTGAGTAAAAGTAGAAGTACCCAGATCTTGTACTTTAGCCAAAGTAGAAGTACACAGATCATGTACTTGAGTAAAAGTAGAAGTACTCAGATCTTGTTCTTGAGTAAAAGTAGAAGTACTCAGATCTTGTATTTGAGTAAAAGTAGAAGTACTCAGATCTTGTACTTGAGTAAAAGTAGAAGTACTCAGATCTTGTACTTGAGTAAAAGTAGAAGTACTCAGATCTTGTACTTGAGTAAAAGTAGAAGTACTCAGATCTTGTACTTGAGTAAAAGTAGAAGTACCCCAGATCTTGTACTTTAGCCAAAGTAGAAGTACACAGATCATGTACTTGAGTAAAAGTAGAAGTACTCAGATCTTGTTCTTGAGTAAAAGTAGAAGTACTCAGATCTTGTTCTTGAGTGAAAGTAGAAGTACTCAGATCTTGTTCTTGAGTAAAAGTAGAAGTACCAGAGTGTAGGAATACTCTGTTACAGTAAAAGTCCTGCATTCAAAATGTTCCTCAAGTAAAAGTATAAAAGTATTATCATCAAAATATAGTGAAAGTAGAGACAGTAAAAGTAGTCATTGTGCAGATTGGTCCATTTCAGAATAATATATATGATATGTTTTATAATGATTGATCATGAAAGTGTTCTCAAAGCTGGTAAAGGTGCAGCTAGTTTGAATGACTTTGTATACTGCAGGGTAGCTTGTGGATTTACTCCAGGTGGAACTAAAGTCTGATTTAACACTTGGTTATATTTCACATCATTCATCCACATCTGTAAAGTAACTAAAGGTATTAAATACATGTAGTGGAGGAAAAGTACACCATGTACCTCTGAACTGTAGTGGAGTAGAAGTACACAGTAAAGTCAAATGTAAATACTCAAGTTAAGTACACGTATCTCAAATTGAACGTGTGTGCGTGTATGAGTGTGTGTGCGTGTGTGTGTGTGTGTGTGTGTGTGTGTGTGTGTGTGTGTGTGTGTGTGTGTGTGTGTGTGTGTGTGTGTCTGCTGTAATCTCCTGTGTAATAATGATGATTAATCTGTGTGTGTTTACCTGCTGACCGACAGAAAGGAGGATTAATCTATCTATAGATCTCCTCACGTCAACCTTCAGCCGCAAGTCTTCATCTTCCAGTCTGTACACACAGAAAAATATAACAGTATACAAAATAAATCCAGAACGAGTTCTCCTGCGGCTGCGTTTTAGTTGAATATATATAATCTTTGGCAAACAGGTGAATATTTGACTTTAACGCCAGAGCAATAATCCATTCTGCCTCCATTTATAAGTCTTTTTTAAACATAGCGTTGATTGATATGAGTTTTTTTTAGAGAATAACAGGTTAAAGTAAAAACGTGTTTTTCCAACATGGTCCCATGATGTTAGAAGACACAAAAAAGCCCATGAAATCCAAAAATATACAAAAAACACCCACAGCGAAAAACAAAGACAACAAAAATGTACATATTTGTTATGTATACATGTTTACATTGAATTATTTATTTTTCAGATCTTTTTCAAATGTATTGAAAATAAGCCTTTGGTTAAATGGGGTTAATGACACCTGTAGGTAAAGGCGTGGTATGTCCATAAAGTATAGCCAGGAGATGGCCTGATGTACCTTTATCTGTAGATATTTAGTTAAATTCATTTTCTGTGTTGTCAATGTTTGCAGAATAGTTTTATGTTTTCTAAATAGTTTTAATTTAGTTGAGTGTTTCCCATCTCTGTCTCTCTAATCTGGCTCTGTGCTGACTGAGAAGAAAACAGGCTTTCATGTGTGTCTGTGATTTGAGGAGGCGGGACTAAACTCACACCCAGGCCTCCTGATTGGCTGAAGGTGGGTGATGACAGTTGGTGCTTACATATAGACCCTCACTGATCCAGCAACACTCAGCTTCCTCTGCTACAACTCAGGTGAGTCTCTCTAAAAAACACATTTGACATATTTTAAGTTATTTGAGTCCTGAAGATTTAGGATGAGAATGTTTTGTTTTGTTTTGAGTGACAGATTTCTAGTAGAAGTAAATATAATCAAATACTGATTTAAAAACAGGAACGACTCATTATTGAAATCATTATTAATCCAAATTAAGGATCTTACTTATATTGCAATGATAAATACATAGATTGGATGACTTAGATGTGCGTATTGTAAACACAATCACAATATTTAACATTTTAATAATAATACAAATCACACATTTATCCTCAATAAATGCTTCTGTCACATTATATGTATAGCATCATGTATAATACCTTAATCTGTTTGGCTGAAGTCATTGTTAATTTATTTTCATTTTATATTGTAAAACACTTTTTTAATATTGTGTTTTTGAACTGATGTTTGTTAAAAGCGTCCCACTATGTGATCACTGGTAATCTTGGGTCTGAGTTTTACAGATTAACTCAGAAGAATAAAAATAAGTCATGTGAAAGTAATGATCAGAAGATTAGTACTGGACTTTAATTATTTGTGTTTGTCCTAAGTATATTGTATGTTGCAATGGAAGGACTACGCTGCATGTAGTGAGCACAATAAAAGCACAGAATAAACTCTACTTTCAGAAAATACTTTCACATATCCCGAGAAAATAACACAAACTCTGTTGTGATTTTGTGTAAGCAGTGTTGAAAATAAAACGTGCAGTTTTGATGGAAATAGAGTTGATTGTGTGTGTACATTGCAATACTATTTGGGCTGGCATTATAAACCTTTTTTGTGCATGTATTCTCGAAAGTAGTGAAAGAAGTATGCAGATATTTAACTTAAGAGAACTAGGGCTGCAATTAACCCTCCTGTTGTGCTCGTTCCCCCCCCCCCCCCCCCTTACTTTGGTGTTCGCGGTCCTGTTTTAACTGCTATTACATCAACACAAAAACCATTAATCATCACCACATTTCATTTAACACCCTTTCAAACTGTATTGTATCAGACTACCGGTATACATGAAGAACTGCAGTACATATACAAAGAACAGACACTGAACATGTGTTGTGTGTGCCAGGTGTGTGTGTGCGTGTGCGTGTGTGTGTGTGTGTGTGTGTGTGTGTGTGTGTGTGTGTGTGTGTGTGTGTGTGTGTGTGTGTGTTGCACACACACACACACTACTACTACTACTTTATCTTACGCCAGAGCATTTAGCTGTCATCGCTACAGGCCTTTGACTTCATTTATAACTGAATATGTACCTTTTTAATAAAAAGTGAGACTACTAAATCATGCATAATAGTGCTAAATGTATGAAATCAATGACTACATGCTTGTCTCTTTCTTTTCCCCAGGCATCGCTCACCCTCTGTCCTCGATCAGCGCCAACATGAGCCCAAAAAATGTGGTTTTCAAGAAGATTTGCAATGACAAGTCGGTCAGTGAAACATCTGAAATGTGTATTTATATAATAATCTGAATCAGGTTTGGGAAAGTAGTTTTTCACCTAAAGGAATGTGTCTGATAAAAACAGTGAGAGATTAAAGCAGGTACTGTTTAACATGAAACATAAAACATGTGGACAATAAAAGTGATGAAAACAACACAGATACTGATTGATTGATAATCGTTAGATAGTTCTGTCCCAAAACCTATCATCCAGTCCTGCTTCACGACCACAGTCTCATTAACACAGCATCCTTCAACATTATATATAACTCCTTTTACCCATAACTCTTCTCTATCGCAAAGCAAAACGTATTTCGAGGACTTCTTTTAAAAAATACCCTTAATGGTGTTAAAAATACCCTTAATGGTGTTTGTTAAAGGAGATCTTCTGGAACTATAGTTTAATTTCTGTAGTTACAAACAAAGGCCCTTGATACATTATCTTTGAGCTGTTATACTCATGCTTGTTTGATAGTAAAGGATGTAGACTCCAGATCAGTTAATGTTGGCTCTCTGAGTGACATGTTGCAGATCAGCTGCACATCTACGTGAGAAGAACTGAGTGTGGTTCACGGCTTTTTGTCAGATTACAAACAACGTTGATCTCTAACTTCCGTGACTTCCCTCATATGTTTACAGCACTAAAGTCATGCTGTACGTCTGGGTGCAGATCATAGAGTCCTGCTGTGAACCCGGAAATGTGGAGTACCCCGATGTTTTATTTTAGAAATGCACAGTAAGGTCTCCAGCACATAGAAATCGAGGTTATTGAGGATGCTGAGTCCATTTCTGATCAAAAGGGAGTTTTAACCGGAAAGTGGCCATAGGTCTATTCCCCAGGGGCTGATTTGGATTTATTTTCAGTAGATTTTGTTTTTAGGGGACTCTGGATCATCTGGATTGGACAGATTGCTTATTTATATGAAACTAACTTGTACACAGTAGAGGTAATAATGTTCATCTTCAATGGTCCCAACACTACTCGTTAGCCCACAGAGAGTACAAACATGGACACTTTCTCATTAAAACCGAAATATTTGATTTGACTCAGCGACCTCAATAATCTCCAAAACAGCCAAGCCATTTTTTAAACCATTGTCTGCATACGCCAATGAACGCACCTTATGCTAATTGTACAAATTGCCCAACATATGCAGGTTAGCATCCGGCAGTTTCTATGTGCTGGGGACTCGTACTATACATTTCTATCATAACACTTTGGTGTACTCAACATTTCCGGGTTCATTGTGCAGGTAACTAGACGACTATGTTGTAATGTTTTACATCTACAGACAAACACCTTTTCAAATGGCTGATTAAGTTCTTCTCAAAAGAGGATGTTATTGATATGTATACAGATTGTTCCAGTTCTTTAGTCAGTGGTTATATAACTGATTTATAAGGTTTAGTACTAAGTGATAGGGATCTGCCACACAACTCATTAAAAGTATTGAGTGTGTGATGGTCGAAAGATTGGGTTTTAAAAGATGGTTCAGTTTAGTTTTTCTATTGTTGGATTCTTTGCTGTTTGTAAATACTTTTGTCAAGAAAGTTGATTTTATTTCAATTAAAACTACTTTATATAAGAAAAGTAAGGATTTCTTTTAGGGTAATGACATGATCAAATATGGCGACAGGGATTCAAAGCTTCATTCAAAAACCTGAAAAGAGACATTCAGCCCTAAATATGGTCCTTCTTTATCTCGTTAGGTCGGAGTCTACATGGGGAGAAGAGACTTTGTGGACCATGTGGATTCTGTGGATCCAGTGGGTGAGTTTCTCAATAACAACATCACTCATTTATCTGTCGTCAGGTTAAATCTGCCCCTCCATTTATATTCTAATATTACTAAAACGATATATATTCAATGTTAGCTGCTCAGTGTCCTGTCACAGTTAAATAAACCCCTTTTTATTCAGTGCATATCTAACGGTAACATGGAAACATATACTGTGTGATCTTATTCAGTTTATATGCAGAGAATCTGGAATCACAATTAGGCTCTAATTGTGTTTTTTATCAATATTTATACGTGTTTTCTCATTATTATTCAAGTGTATTCTAGTCAGACACACTTTTGTGTACTGAGCACACACAATTTATTAAAAGCAAAGATAGTTTGGGTGTTTCTCAATGTCGAGGACGCTTCCTTGGTAGGACATGTCTTCCGAGTCAGGTCCTTCAGAAGCGAGGCAAGAATCCTTCCTGGCATTCGGAGAACGAAGAGTGGAACAGGCTAGCAAGTGTGCAGGTGTGCGTCATATGAGAGGCCCCGCCTTACATTTTCCGTCAAAGATTTGGGAAATTGGTCCGTGCGCAAAGCATTGTGGGGATTTTAAGATCGCGGAGGATACACATGTGCAGCCTCGAAATTTCCCGCAACAAAGTACGCCGGCCTCGGTAGAATTCCAAGCATCCTGGACATTGGAACAGTCCTTTGGCGGGACTCGATGACGTAGCATGCTTGAAATAGTGGCTCTGGAGCAGCCTTCCTCAACATTGAGAAACACCCAATGTCTAGTAAATATCTACAAATATTATCTTATTACGTTTTTTTTAATCTGTATTCTCTCAATTTTAATGTGAAATGACTGAACATGGAAATAATGCTATTGTTTATTTCAGTGAAGTTTTCTGTTTAATATCATGAAATCCAAGTATTATTGTTTATAAAAACAGTAATACATTTGATTTGTATAGCACTTTAACGGTTCTGAACGCAGTCACGGTGTAAGAAGTTGTGGGAAACATTTTCATTATCCATGTAACTAAAGGGATTCAACGCAGTTTAAAAATACTGCTCCATCTTTATCACCTCATGACCTTTGAATGTTTTCTACCACCAGATGGCGTTATCCTCATAGATCCTCAGGCTCTGCAGGGGAGGAAAGGTCGGTACCAAAACACAAGCAATAACACAGGAAGTAGATCTGCAAAATGACTACTTTTACTTTTGGTACTTTGACTTTATACTAATACTTTATTTTCTACTTTTACTTGAGTAACATGTTTAATGCCGGACTTTTACTTGTAACAGAGTATTCCTACACTCTGGTACTACTTTTAATCAAGTACAAGATCTGAGTACTTCTACTTGAGTAAAACATTTGAGTACTTCTACTTTTACTCAAGTACAAGATCTGAGTACTTCTCCCTCCTCCGGTTCCTCCTCTGCCCTCAGTGTTCGTCACCCTGTCCTGCACCTTTCGATACGGCCGGGATGATGTGTCGGTTATGGGGGTGGCTATCCGGCGGGAGCTGCACGTGTCCAGCCGGCAGGTTTACCCCCCGCTGCAGGACCGCGAGAGCTGCATCCACAGCCGCATGCAGGCCAAGCTGCTGCAGAAGCTGGGAGACAACGCATACCCCTTCTTCTTTGAGGTACATTGTGGTGGAGAATAGTGACGTTCACGAACGACCCGATTCTTTTGAACGGTTCTTTGGTACGAACGAAGGGAACCGACTCGTACTTGGTGAGAGCCGTTGTTGCGCTCACTAGAATGGGTTATATGGCAACACAGTCTCACGGCATTTCGTGTTATAGTCACGAAATTAATCTATTGATTCGTGTTCACCAACACGATTTCGCCATTTTTTTCGTGTCACACAGAACGATTTTAAAAGCAATGTAAATAATAACAAATTAGAAGGAAAAAGACATTTAAAAAAATACAGATTTCAGTATTCTGACACAGAACGATTTTAGAAGCAATGTATTTATATTGGTAGTATGTTTCGTGGCTGCACCAAATAATAACACATTAGAAGGAAAAAGAGATGACATCAAATACAGATGTCAGTATTCTGAGGCTCTGAGACATTTCTTTTCCTCACTGACGGCAAAAAAACTCAGACATTATACAATTTAAAATAAAAGGGATAGGGTTAGGCTTAGGGTAAGATATTGAGTAAGAACATGTTTTTATGAACCACACAGCTTCTGGTCTTCCAAGACCCGACCGGACAAAAAGACGTGTTGCAGGCACGAAACATACTACCAATAGAAATACATTGCTTTTAAAATCGTTCTGTGTGACACGAAAAAAAGGTGAAAATCGTGTTGGTGAACACGAATCAATAGATTAAATTAATTTCGTGACTAATAACACGAAATGCCGTGAGACTGGGTTGTATATGTTTTTGTTATTTTGAACAGTAGATGGCGTAATGGGCAACAACATATAACTGATCTCCTGCCACAGGTGCATTGATTGTGACTGGGAGAGCAATCGCTTTTTGACCTTGTCTATCGTGTCTGTGAACACGCTGTTCTCCTTTGTAAATAAAATATATTGAAAAGCTAAAACTTCGTCGTGGATGGAAATTGCAAGCGTCCAATTCGTTTACCCAGTTTAGCCAATCCCAGGTGATATTGAGTGGCAATAGTCACCACAGTCGTTCTTTTTATCGTTGGTTCACTGCCTGCCATAAATCCACTCGCCTTTAAAGGAACTTGCTCTCCTGAATGCAAATTTGCCGTAGATGATGGCGTAACGCGTGCTGCTTGAGTAGTAGCTTGGCTGGCTGAGAGATGGAGCAAGTTATACATTTTTCTGTGAGTAAAAGTAGATTTCTGGCAATACAGTCAATCATTATCCTGGTGATTATTTCGCAGATAAACCTATTAGCCCCGCCCCCTTAAAACAAACGTCTCTTTTGAACGGCTCTCAGAAAGGAAACGGAGCCATAAGATCCGGCTCCCTTCAAAGAGCCGTAACTCCCATCACTAGTGCAGAGATCTCATAGGAATAAAGATTCAAGTCAAGACTCAAGTTTCAAGGCTTTTATTGTCATGTGTGAATAGCTACAGTGTAGATATGACAATGACATGCTTAGGTCGCAGGCTCCTCCAACAGAGCAACACAATCAAACAGATAAAATAGTGGATTCTTTGTCTTCTCAGTTCCCGGACAACCTGCCTTGCTCGGTGATGCTGCAGCCGGGGCCGAACGATTCAGGAAAGGTAAGCCCCTGCCAGGGAATCAAACCTTTACTGATGAAGTGAGCACGTGACAGGGGGGTGACGCCTGCTTCTCTTCTTCCGCAGCAATGTTGCGTGGAGTTTGAGATCAAAGCCTTCAGCGCTGAGAGCCAGGACGCTAAAGTGCGCAAACGGTAGGATGTTTTTTTATATCTGTTTATTTAAAGGTCACCTATTATACAAAATCCTCTTCTTCATGTCTCTTCTACATCAACATGTGTCCCCTCTTCTTCATGTCTCTTCTACATCAACATGTGTCCCCTCTTCTTCATGTCTCTTCTTCATCAACATGTGTCCCCTCTTCTTCATGTCTCTTCTTCATCAACATGTGTCCCCTCTTCTTCATGTCTCTTCTACATCAACATGTGTCCCCTCTTCTTCATGTCTCTTCTACATCAACATGTGTCCCCTCTTCTTCATGTCTCTTCTACATCAACATGTGTCCCCTCTTCTTCATGTCTCTTCTACATCAACATGTGTCCCCTCTTCTTCATGTCTCTTCTTCATCAACATGTGTCCCCTCTTCTTCATGTCTCTTCTTCATCAACATGTGTCCCCTCTTCTTCATGTCTCTTCTACATCAACATGTGTCCCCTCTTCTTCATGTCTCTTCTTCATCAACATGTGTCCCCTCTTCTTCATGTCTCTTCTACATCAACATGTGTCCCCTCTTCTTCATGTCTCTTCTACATCAACATGTGTCCCCTCTTCTTCCTGTCTCTTCTACATCAACATGTGTCCCCTCTTCTTCATGTCTCTTCTACATCAACATGTGTCCCCTCTTCTTCATGTCTCTTCTACATCAACATGTGTCCCCTCTTCTTCATGTCTCTTCTACATCAACATGTGTCCCCTCTTCTTCATGTCTCTTCTTCATCAACATGTGTCCCCTCTTCTTCATGTCTCTTCTACATCAACATGTGTCCCCTCTTCTTCATGTCTCTTCTACATCAACATGTGTCCCCTCTTCTTCATGTCTCTTCTACATCAACATGTGTCCCCTCTTCTTCATGTCTCTTCTACATCAACATGTGTCCCCTCTTCTTCATGTCTCTTCTACATCAACATGTGTCCCCTCTTCTTCATGTCTCTTCTTCATCAACATGTGTCCCCTCTTCTTCATGTCTCTTCTACATCAACATGTGTCCCCTCTTCTTCATGTCTCTTCTACATCAACATGTGTCCCCTCTTCTTCATGTCTCTTCTACATCAACATGTGTCCCCTCTTCTTCATGTCTCTTCTACATCAACATGTGTCCCCTCTTCTTCATGTCTCTTCTACATCAACATGTGTCCCCTCTTCTTCATGTCTCTTCTACATCAACATGTGTCCCCTCTTCTTCATGTCTCTTCTACATCAACATGTGTCCCCTCTTCTTCATGTCTCTTCTACATCAACATGTGTCCCCTCTTCTTCATGTCTCTTCTACATCAACATGTGTCCCCTCTTCTTCATGTCTCTTCTACATCAACATGTGTCCCCTCTTCTTCATGTCTCTTCTACATCAACATGTGTAAAGAGACTCTCTCTTTACACAGAGGGGACATTTACGTTGTTACAGCAGAAAAGAGCCAAAGACAGCTTAAAGTTACCTAGAAAGCATGCATACAAAATACACATCCTGTCTTGCAATTAAAGCCACTAGACTCCATGAACAGAATCAGTAATTTAACTTGAATGATTATTTATAAAACAGACACGATTCAAACGGCACATGAACAAAGAACAACTCATACAATTCTCTTTGTTACTCTTTCCACTTTCCAACCATCCACCACTCTGTTTGAGAGTCTGAAAGAGAGAAAGAATCAGGACTGAATCCTCTCCGGTTAAAGCACCTGCACTTATTTAGTTGTAAGAAGGATATATATCTACGTGTGTTATATGTTCTGCTGCTCTGTCGACAGGAGCACGGTGGCGCTGATGATCCGGAAGGTGCAGTACGCTCCGGACAGCGAGGCGGCGGCGCAATCTGTGGAAATCAGCAAGGAGTTCGCCATGTCGGACAAACCGCTGCACGTCAAGGCCAGCCTGGACAAAGAGGTGGCTTCACATTTGTTATTATCTTCAGCTGCACGGACAAAACACCATTCAGAGTTCATCTCTAAACCAAGCTGCTGCATTTAGAGACGCAGTGGAGCAAGTCTTTCAGGGCGGCCGCTCATTATACTCAAATAACTCGGTAAATCAAACGAAACTCAGTGGCTTCCTTAGATACAGCGGTGTTGTCATTAATCAGGTAATATCACGAGATGTGCGCCCTTTGATACACTTTAATTACATTGGATCACTCTTTTATAACAAAGTGAGTATACCTGCAGGTCCCTTGTTGTTCTGTGTTTGTATCTTAACGTTTTTTGCACTTATTGCTTGTCTCTTTAGATAAACGTCAGCTAATCTAAATGTTGATTTGATCAGAATCCAGTTCATTTCCAAGTTGCTTTTCACATACAAGGAATCTGCTTTGGTGTGTTGGTGCACATAAGACACATGTGGAATACTTACAATAACATGTTTTCTTTAAAATAGTATATTTAAATAATACTACTTTACAATATACAAAGGCAAAGGCAACCATATTCAGATTAGGGTTAGGGTTAGGGTTAGGGTTAGGGTTAGGAAACACCGTTATACGAGTTTGCCTGCATGAGACAGAGGAGTGAGAGGAGAGGAAATATCTAGGACGACTAGAACAAAACTAAAGGACCATATATGAAACTATAATTCAGATTTAAAGGGGACCTATCATGCAAAATGCACTTTCTGATGTCTTTTCTACATCAACATGTGTCCCCGGTGTGTCAGGGAACTCACGCAGCGTCAGGAAATAAAACCCTCTCTCTTTTCCTCCGTACCCAAATCTCTAAAAACGGGGGAACAACGGAGCTGATCCAGATTAGCGTCCGATATGACGTAATATCTGAAATGTGGACCCACGGCCCTATCAGAAACGTTGCTATCAGAAACAATGCCCGACTGTTTTGGACGTAATATGGTGGGTGTTTACATTAGCATCGCTAACACTCAGAGCTAACCTGTACTGGAGAGCATGTGTGTGAAGAAGCAGGAAATAAAAAGGAACTCACCTTGTGGTATAACCGGCAAGAGAGAAAGCCTTTGAGCTCCATACTGTTTCAGAAACAATCCTTGATAATCCATGATATGGCGTTTCATCACGGCAGTATTTAGTTTAGACAGTAGCTGCCGGGTCCCGCATAAGCTCCGCCCCCTACTTTTTTATTTTGTATCAATTCTTTTTATTTTTTATCTGTTTGGTATTTTGAGCAAAACACTTCATAGACATGTTTTTTTATATATTTGTATATATATGAGACCTATGCTATTGCCTAAAAATAGCATGATAGGTGACCTTTAAATATAAAGAGGTCTACGGGCCAGGTGTTTGGCCTGTGTGGAGGAAGTCATGCTAACATCATGTTTAAAATGAAAGAGATAAGTAGAAATGTATATAAAGGTTCACAGTATCAAATGGCTAAATACAAAGTGTGATAATACAACGTTCAGATCATTAACTTTGCAGAACATTTCGTCATGTGTAAAACAGGAGGAGGAATTTCATGAAGTGTATGTACAAATATTATAATGATATTTGTTCACCTTGTTTCCAGATGTATTACCACGGTGAGACTGTCAAGGTGAACCTCAGCATCACAAACAACACGAACAAACACATCAAGAGCATCGTCGTCTCCGGTAAACATGACCCACGTTTCACATTCATGTTCAAGCTCATTCTAATATGGAGGTTTAGTAAAGTCACATTTCTACGTGTCTGAACTGTCTGTTGCATGCAGTGAAATGATGTCATGTTTCTTCCTCTCAGTGGATCAGATCTCCACCGTGGTGTTGTACTCCAACGACATTTGGGTCAAATCTGTGGCCATCGAGGAGCCTGGGTAATGCACAGCTCACACTTACAATTTAAAATAAATACTGAACAATGGACTTTAGTAGAAATGTAAGCTTTCATTTTAAAAACAAAGAAAAAGGAAATACTTCACTCATTCTAGAGTTATATAACAAACTCAAAAAGACCACACATAACTTTAACAGACACAATAATGAAGACTATTTTTAAATATGAAGGGATAAATAAAAATGCCCATCAGAGTTAGAACAGATGGAGATTCAATAGCAACATAACTGCAGACGTGTTTTTATACTGAGTGTGTCTTGGCTATTTAAAAGAACCTCAGTTGACCAAAGTGCTGTACAGGCAATAAATACAATATAAAATAACACAATGGGAGTAAAATAATTAAACAATAATTAAAAACATGATAAAAATCACAATAACTAGAAACATATAAAAACGTACAAATGTAAAAATGTAATGTTCAACTAGTATTAAATAAGAGACTGCACAACGGTCATCATACAGCGTGTTATAAAGCCATCAACATCTCGCTGGACTGCATGATTTCTGATTTTGTAATTGATTGATTATTTTAGTTTGATAATAAATCAACGGAGAATAAATCCACAGTGAGATGTTGAGGATCAGGCACCCGATCAAAACCCTTCGCAGGTAGGGTTGGATTCTTTATAAAGCAGCAAGATAAAGTTCACAACACATTGAAAAAGGACATTAAAATATAATCAAAACATTTATTGTACAGCCAAGAGAAAAGAAAAACTTAAAGTGGACCTATCATGCTATATTTAAATGATATATTGTAGGGCCATACCTATATAAGGTATATTTATACGTTTCTGTTTTCAAAATACCAAACAGATCATGCATTTTAGCCATGCCTCATTTCGCTCTATTTGCTGTTCTCCAGCCCTGTTTTTGCAGGGGGCTGATTCTGTGAGCTGCAGCTGACCACGCCCCCCTGCAGGAGAGGGGAGCCGCTCTGATCAAGTCAGAAGAGGGGGAGAAAAAGAGATCTCCGTCCTCCGTGTTTTATTATATAGAGTCGTTATTCATTTGTTTTAAAGCTCAATAAATAACAAAGACCTTTGACCGGCACTTTTCTAATTTTGTCTGGAAGATTTAAACTTTAACGGACATCTTGACCGGCGAAAGAAAACCTAACTGAAACTCTGCCGCACGGTCCCCTCGTTCCTTGGAAGAGGCGGAGAGGTGGGTGTTTGTCATCTGCTGGTGGACTAACCGGAGAGAATTACAGTGCTTGCCTCGACGGGGAGGGATTGCATTGAATTAAAGCAGCGGGAGCAAACGCTTGCCTCGGGGAGGGAGAAAAAAAGCCACAGCGGTGAATAAACAGAAGGGTAACCATGGTAACCATGGTAACTATGGGCGGGAAGTCTTCTTCGCTGCTTTTGTGGCAGACTACAGCACTACAGGCCTGGCATATGTACTACAGCGTCTCCAGCGCTTTCGAGCGGCAATGGCCGGCCGTGGCCCAACCCCATATTCCCCTGACGTCAGGACAGTGTTCAAATCTGGATCAATTTTTATCAGATCCGTTGCAGCCCCTTTTTTAGAGATTTGGGTATGGAGGAAAATAGAGAGGGTTGTGTTTTCTGACACTTGGTGAGTTCCCTGGAACACCGGGGACACATATTCATGTAGAAAAGACGTACACAAGTGCATTTTGCATGATAGGTCCCCTTTAAGTGCAAGCTCAAATTGAATTAGACAGTTTTACAGCGGAACAAGTTATTTCTAAGATCTAAGTACTTTTCCCAAGAACTAGGCCGATAGGGGGGGGGGAGATTTGGTTTCACTCCAAAAAGATCTGGAACTAGTCCCTAGTTTGCGCAAACCTTTTCACCCCCAGATAGTCCCTGCTAGAGAGGTAGTACTTTCCTGGGGAGGAAATGGTTAGTGGGTGTGTCGGCCACACTAACAATTTCTGATTTGCTGGGCGAATTGCAAACCACGCCCCGTAAAACTCTGAAAAGTTTTTTGCATTAGCATTATTAGCATTAGCCCAGCGCACCAACGGAGAGAGACTAACTTATGGCAACACAATAAGAATACGTAACTTGTTTGGTGAATACAAAGCATCCTCTCCATCAGGTCCAGAAACTCTTCTCTCAGTTCAGAAGAAGCCCCAGAGGGTCAGAGTGAATCTGGACTATAATGGAGGAAAGCTGTCGTTCTCTGATCTTGACTCTAACACACACATACACACCTTCACACACACTTTCACTGAGAGGGTGTTCCCATACATTTGTAATTACAATACACATCCAGTGAAGATTTTACCACTGAGCGTGTCTGTGGCTCTTGAATAACCCTTTAAACACCACTGAGTGTGTTCATAACCTAACACAGTTCAGTGTTTTATGAGTCTAACTGCATTGATCAGAGGATCATCATTCGTTGATGTTATGTGAACATATTCTGATGAACAGCTGCTTCTTGAAAGCTATTTTAATGTCTTGTCTTAGTGACATTAGAGAGCACTATTACAACCAATAGGCGCTTTCACACCGGAGTACTTTTCCCAGGAATAGTTCTGATAGTTCCTGAGATTTTGCGTTCACACCAAAAAGATCTGGAACTAGAACCTTTTCAGTCCCTGCTAGAGAGGTGGTACTTTCCTGGGGAGGAAAAGGTTCCAATTTCTGATTGGCTGGGCGAATTGCAAACCACGCCCCGTAAAACTCTGAAAAGTTTGTATTTGCTCGCATTAGCATTATTAGCATTAGCCCAGCGCTCCAACAACTTATGGCAACACAAAATAAAACGTGGAAGTGGTGGAGTGACGAGGAGGTGTCGGCGCTTCTGGCGATTTACCCGGGGGGCTCCAGGACTTCGGGTGGCAGTAAACGCCGTGAAGTTGTTTGCGGCCTGCCAGTAAACCCAAAGCAGAAGAAGTCACGTCAGCAGCTTCATTTGCGTAATCCTCCCTCAGGGACTTATACCGTTGTGAACGCGATCTACTAAATAGTTCAGGAATTAAGACTTCCGGGGGACTAAATTCCTGAACTATTCCTGGGAAAAGTACTTGGTGTGAAAGCGCCAAATAAGAATGTTTTAAATGAGCCACATCTTATACTTATTTTATTTGTTGTAGAAAGCTGATGACGTGTGTTTATATCGTTTAGGTGTTCAATGTTACTTCTGCTTGTTTGCTGATTTTAGATATTTCTAATAAATCCTCCTTGAAATTACGATAATGAACACAGTTTTAAATTGCCTTAAATTGAAATCCTGCCTTAAATAAAATGCATCTTAAACGTGTGTTTTTGGTCTAAAAAAGTGATTTTCTTTGGTCAGAGGTCACTTTACTTTATACATAGTTGTGTGTAAACACTTTAAAAATAAATGTTGCATAAAGAAAATGAATCAGAAGCAAAATTGGGTTCATTTGAAACATATTGTTCTACAGTACAGCAGCTTATCCTCTGAACTTTCTCTGGTCTCGTTGCTTTTTTAAACAAACACTATCGCCACCTGAGTGAAAACAGATGCTTGGTCTTCAGGAAAGTGTCTTTGTGTTTAATATTAATATCATCCATCGTTGTAATCACACTGTGAGTTTGCCCTATCCTCCTATTAATGCATTTTTATAATATCTTACATTTTAATCTATTCTATAATCTATGGTCATTGTTTGTGTATTTGTATGTCTTTTATTGGTGACTGTTTTCTATGTGATGCCAACTTTCTGTGGCACACTTTGGACTGCACTTCTTGTATGAAAGGTGCTATACAAATAAAGCTTGTTATTATTAATTTAATATTATTAAAGTGTAATTTTAATGAAATATAACTTAAAGGGGACCTATCATGCAAAATGCCCTTTTGTACGTCTTTTCTACATGAATATGTGTCCCCGGTGTTCCAGGGAACTCACCAAGTGTCAGAAAACACAACCCTCTCTATTTTCCTCCATACCCAAATCTCTAAAAAAGGGGCTGCAACGGATCTGATAAAAACTGATCCAGATTTGAACACTGTCCTGACGTCAGGACGGTGGCGCTACGGCTATTGGGCCAACTCCACCAATCAGGAGGAGACAGCCACGGCCATTCCCGCTCGAAAGCGCTGGAGACGCTGTAGTACATATGCCAGGCCTGTAAGTGGCGCTGTAGTCTGCCACAAAAGCAGCGAAGAAGACTTCCCGCGCATGGTTACCATGGTTACCCTTCTGTTTATTCTCCGCTGTGACTTTCTTTCTCCCTCCCCGAGGCAAGCGTTTGCTCCCGCTGCTTTAATTCAATGCAATCCCTCCCCGTCGAGGCAAGCACTGTAATTCTCTCCGGTTAGTCCACCAGCAGATGACAAACACCCACCTCTCTGCCTCTTCTAAGGAACGAGGGGACCGTGCGGCAGAGTTTCAGTTTCAGTTTCTTTCGCCGGTCAAGATGTCCGTTAAAGTTTAAATCTTCCGGACAAAATTTGAAAAGTGCCGGTCAAAGGTCTTCTTATTTATTGAGCTTTAAAACAAATGAATAACGACTCTATATAATAAAACACGGAGGACGGAGATCTCTTTTTCTCCCCCTCTTCTGACAGCCCAGCAGCTGATCAGAGCACGTCTCACCTCTCCTGCAGGGGGGCGTGGTCAGCAGAATCAGCCCCGTAGACAGCAAACAGCACAGAGCGAAATGAGGCATGGCTAAAATGCATGATCTGTTTGGTATTTTGAAAACAGAAACGTATAAATATACCTTATATTGGTATGGCCCTACAATATATCATTTAAATATAGCATGATAGGTCCACTTTAAAATAAACTGTATCGTTACCTTATAGAGGAAACAGATGCACACATCTTGGGAGGATAACATCCCATTAGTGTAAAGTACTGTGCTTGAGTATTTCCTTTTTATGCTACTTTATACTTCTTCTCCTCTGCATTTAGCTATAACAATGTTATCTGGAATTGTGTGTGTGTGTGTGTGTGTGTGTGTGTGTGTGTGTGTGTGTGTGTGTGTGTGTGTGTGTGTGTGTGTGTGGTGTGTGTGTGTGTGTGTGTGTGTGTGTGTGTGTGTGTGTGTGTGTGTGTGTGTGTGTGTTGTGTCTCAGGGACTCGGTGCCTCCCGGAGAGAGTCTGCAGAAAGACTTCAAGCTGCTGCCTCTTCTGGCCAACAACCGCGAGAGGAGAGGCATCGCTCTGGACGGGAAGCTGAAGCACGAGGACACCAACCTGGCCTCGTCCAGCATGTGAGACACAAACCTTTATCGACGCCACTATTTCAATGCAATCTTAAAGCTCA